GAGGCCTCACCTGGTCATGCGGAGCAGCCAATAGCAGATGGCCTCATCGTTTGCGCACACCCTATGTTGCCACACTTCATTCACTCTCATAATTAGCCATTATAGTTTTGAACCATATTTCAGATCTCTGCAGACTGACAGCAGCTGACATTATTAGTAACAATTTCAGCACTTCATAACATCTTCGAAATGCCAGTCTTTCAGGTTTTATCACCCTTTAGCTCCACCAGACGACTCCATGATACAATAAGCCCCTTCAGACGGCCCATTTGAGGGTGTACTGCCAGAAAGCTTGGCTCTCATGCCACTTTTCAGTCTCTGCTAACGAGTGTAATTTGTTTCAATAGTCTCACACCTAACTTCGGGAGTGTGGCTGCATTGTCAGTCTTAAAGTGTTCGAATTTCGCACAACACTTTGATTTTCTCAAAACTTGAAGCTCTCCTTTTCACACAAAGAGAACTCCTCCATCCGCCCGTATATATGATGAAGATGAAAAGGCGGCTGCTGAATGGTGGGAGGGAGACACGAGAGAAGTTAGGCCCGGAGGGAGTAAAAACTGGGATATGTAGAGCAGGATATTCTCCTCCAAAGCTCCTTACCATGAAGCATTTAGAGCTTAAAGAAGGCAAGACGAGGTCAGAAAGGGAGGTGTGAACGGCAGGGCAATAGGCACGCAGCACGCTTCTGTCTGCTCTGGAGAAGTTGGGTACAAGGACACTGTGGATGATGGTCAGGAACATACTCGATACAGTCTGTATCGTGTACCAAACCTGCTTATCTTTATTTGTATTCATAACTTATAAATGCAGTGTTTTTGAATGCTTTGGTGGAAGATTGATCTATGAATCACGACTAGTGTTTACATCTGTGCGTATTGATATGTTTAGTAAACACTACATAATACACACATTGACCTATACATCTGTATATGTTTTTTAAAAAGTGTTTTACATTGCACATTTCTTAGTGGAGGGTTCATTTTTTTCTATATATGTGAGTGTTCTTGTCAACTGAATTCACAGGCTCAGTAACAAGTCATGTCTAATGAGATGAGAGTCGACCCATCTGCAAACACATCATGTCCACATGTTCCAAAACATTAGCATAAACACAGTTTTGTAGCAAGCTTGTAAAATTGGACAAAGAACTTTTAAATACAAAGCGACGGTATGATACATGTTGCAGGTGGTACGACATGTCACATGTATGAATCTTGGGTTCAAATCCTGGTCATACAGGTCTTTTCTGAGTGGAGGACTGTTTGATCCAGTTTCCCTACCATACCATACCTACCACTAAAACATGTACAATAGGTCTGACATGTTCCTCGTGTCGGCGACTCCATCTCTGTGTGGAGTGAGAGACAAATGTCCATAACAATTACACAGCACTTTGTGACTCTGGTCTGTGAAAGGCGCTATATACTGTACTTACTTACAATTCAAATGTAGATTTCGTAAAAATCCTCCAGCGATAGTGCTGACCGAGCACCGACATCTGGAGATGATTCCCTTGTGCTGGACTGTGGAGACCTCCTCACGCAGGCTCTCTCACATTTCCTTTGGGCGACTGCAGAAGGTGCTTTACTTCATCTTATCTTTGAGAAGGATCTCCATGGAGATGGAGAAACAGAGTAAATGACCCCTCAAAATGTCTTTAATCACTGTCTATATTTATTGATTTGTTTATTCATAAAACACTGATTGAGGCTTTAAAGCGACTTGCATTTGACACGATACATAAATAAAAACAACACCTGCCTGTCAGTCTAACCACATATTGGTCGTCTAACCACATGCTTAATGGACCCTAAACAAAAGCATACACGGATCAAGCTGCTGGCAAGATTCTTTTACATTTGCAAATGGGGAATACATACTTTTTTTGCACTTCCTTATGGAACTATACGCTTTTTAGCGAAATGAAACTAGACGAATTGTGTTACGGTAATTTGGTTTCATCTTGTGTGGCTCTCTGGTGTCTGGCATTCCTGTTTAAACATTTACCTGCAGTCTGCTGTGTCACCAATTGAAACTCTAAACCAGCCTTGAACCTGAGTGTAGCAGCGGTGGCTAATTCCTTCTTTAATTCCCGTCGTGAGCCACTGTGCGTCTTCAATATCGCGCTATCTTTTTTTAAATTACTTTGTGTGTGTGTGACAGAAGCCATTTTACTCCGATTGTGGCCTTAACAGTAAGTGTAAATTCGTATATGAACTCCCAAAGGGTTAGTCTTCTAATTATTCCCCCATAAGATCGGCCTATTTGATTTAGTTCATTAAAGTTCCGGTATGTGATGATTGAAGTGAGAACATCCATTTGCAGTTGGCTGTCAGAACTGTTTCATGTCAAGCAGTTTCCAATAATTCAATTGCAAAATAAATGAATTTCCTGCGTTGACATTAAGTGGGAGTGACTGCAGCCGTAGTGCCGATGGTCCCAGGTCACTTCACGACAGTATAATCGTGTTTGAGACATGTGATAAAGAATGTGAAAGCAACTGTTGCATCTGCTCCGGGGATGGCAGGGGTTTATTAGTGTAATAACAATATTCTTTGGCAGTTACTCAAGAGGAATAGACAGATAGAAGCCTGGTAATTTATAAAACAGTTAACATATGAGGAGATATGTCTGCCAGTGATACTATACGATACTACACTAAACTATAACAATCTTATTTTTTTAAACAAAGAGGGTTTCATTTGTATTTTCACGTTTGCCTGTACTGACTGCACCTTCTATTGTACAATATTTGTGTGTTCTTCTGCACAAAGTATTCATGAATCTGTAATATTAGTCTTTTTACCACAATGCTCCCATTTATTCTTCAAATGCAAGTGTACCTAAATAATTGCCTCCACAGCACATTCTGGTGTATGTCAAAATTGATTTTTTTTATAATAATGTTCTGCTTAAAAGTCAGGACAACCATTTTGTGGTGGCAGCCTGACCATTTTGTTGTCATGGCAACACCTGTGAATGTGGGCCTTTTTTCAAGCAAGTGGGAAATACATATTATTACATAACAAGCCCTGCAGCACTTACATGTGAACATGGAAAGCTCTTTAAGGAGCATTCTTCTCTCAGATGTTATCGCTACAGTTCAAAGGGTTTCTGTGGTATGTGCTGTACACCACGGTTCAATCTGACTCATCATAACACAAAACACATTAGTTTGACTCCACGGCCACTAACAACAGCTTACCCTCTGCAGAATTACCCATACATTTAAAAACTTTTGTATTAATAACAACTGCAGATGTTATTTTTATTTTGGATGTTTGTGAGCTAAAGCCGGCCTGACCATTTGCCACACCGCCCACTGCGATCTGTGCTCGTCTTTTGTGGACCACGGCTCATTAGACTCATATATTCTGTGAAATAAATTGGACGAGTACCTGCTGGGGTGCTACATTGAGACTAGTATTGAGGCTTGCATGACAGCATAGTGGTCCATAGTGAGCTGGTGGTCCGTAGGTTATGTCAACGTCTGATTTTCCCCATAAGAATTAGATGCATGGTTTCTGGACATGGTCAGGGCCCTTTGTATGCTCTCCGTTGGTCAATCTGAAATGTAGTTCTTTTCTTCTTAAGATGAGGTTCGCTGGCACTGCACAGCTTTCTACAACTCTCATTCTGCATTGACAGTGGCATTCTTGCACTCATTTGTCTTTTCTTTATAATGATCCTTTCAAAGCATTGCAACTGAGCGGGCTTGACTCTCCACAATTATGATCTGTGTGTGACAGAAGCCATGTTACTCCGATTGTGACCTTAACAGTAAGTATGAATTCATATATGAACTCCCAAAGGGTTAGTCTACTAATTATTCCCCCATAAGATCAACCTATTTGATTTAGTTCATTAAAGGTCCGGTATGTGATGATTGATGGTATTCTTGCACTCATTTGTCTATTTTTTTATAATGACCCTTATGATCTGTAAATTGGTCCGTACTCTGCAGCAAACATGGCTTATATTAAGTAAAACATGTTATTCCCATAGTGTGTGACGTTACAGACACAAAGGGGCAGGGGTATTCTGTGGCATCATTTAAACTCTCCTAAAACCAAAGTGTAGAAACCTGTCTCTTAGCAATTACACAAAATAAAAAATAAAAATTCAACCACAGCTGTTGTTTTTATCATGTTTTTTTATTTTACACAACATAACAACACAGTAGATGTTGTCTTTTCTGTACAGAAGCTCTCATTGAGCTCGTGACCACCCCAGGCTGTAGTAAACCCGGTCAGGAAACAGCCCATATGTAGTTATTTTTTTATACTTCCCTTTAAAAAATATCAATTTCAGATGAGTTCTTTAAAAGTCTATGTTCACCAGCACTTTGACCTGTCTAGAAACGTCCATATTCCTTTGTAAGTATAAAGGCTATGTGTGAAATCTCATGTCCTTTGTTTGTCCCCCTGTTCTAACTCCTCATTTATGACGCTGTGAGGTCTAAAAAAATCCAGTTCTTCTGACAGTCAGAGGGAGTGAAGGAACTTTAGTGCAAAAGAAGGCACCGGCTGCTTTTCTCCTGCCGACGTACAACACTCTTCTGTGGCATGTGAACAGTGTGCTGGCCAGTCCCATGTACATTTATTCCTTTTAACCTGTTTTAAGAAAACCACTGATGATGCACTGTCCAGAGAAAGTGAGCGTGTGACGTGGCAAGCCCATGGTCTTGTTTTCAATTGTGCTATAATGTGGAACCAACAAGACAAGGCAGAGCAAGGACTCACTGATAGACCGACTTGAAACAGAAAAGAGTGAAAAATGTAAACGGAATACAAAGAGTTGTGGAAAAAAACGTTGAAAATGATTTAAAAAAAATAAGATCAACAGACGCGCATTTTTTGAGCACACAGCCACTCCCTCACACATCTAAAATCAAAAACACTCTAAACGGCAAGAAACCACTTGAACATCTGAAACCAAAACACGCACGTCATACGAAAAAGCGGATACACCAGTTTGTGGTCACCATCGTGTTTGTTGTTTTAAACTGTGCTTTCTAAAATCCAGTCTGAATCGCACCGGCCTTTTTCAGAGTCCTCGGCCTCTTTTGCGAGTAGCATTGCACTCATGGATTGACTCCTCTTGTTACGCATTATTCGTCCCAGCTTAGGAGCACTGCTGACCCCCTGCTGGAGTGTGCTAGTCTTTGAGCCTCCTTCACTGAGGGAGTACCTCCGGCGGGCCCGGCTCCGCCCGCCATCCTCCACAGGGAGAGTCTGGTACTTGGTGGAGCCGGAGGAGGCCGTGCGAGGGGCCCGGCGCAGGATGGGAGTGTCTCTGAAGCGAGGGCTGGGACTGGCCAGCGGTAGGGAGCTGAGCACAGGAGGTGACTGGTTTAAAGAGGTGGAGTTGTTCCTGTTGGTGTTGAGGTTTTCCAGGGGAGTGGAAGAAGGAAGGAGGGTGGAGCAGGGGCTGGAGGAGGTGGGGCGGGAGAGCACTTCGGTCAGGACAGTCGAGGAGGCCGAGGCATTGGAACAGGACGAGCCCGGTTTGGTGGGTGCTGGTTTGCGTTTTGGTTTGGGCAGTGAGCCAGAGTTGGAGGGGGAGGAGAGTTGGGCTATCTCCCCAGTTAAAGTGGTCTTCTCGTCTATAGCCACCGTGGTTGTGGTGGGACTCTTGGCTGCCCAACTCTGTCCCATCCCTGCAGATTCAGAGGACTGAATCACTGTGTCTTTGGCCACGGTTCCAGGCCTTTTCTTCGATTCCCCGGAGAGATCGTCCAGTCCGATAGAGCCGTGTTTGGATGAACTGGGAGTGACTGTGCAGCCCTGAGACTGCGGCCCGTTGGTCTGAGAGTGCATGTTGGTCATGGATAAGGAAACTCCTTTGCCTCCTTCTCCAGGGTTACACACCTATGAAGACACAAAACGGCCAAAAACAGACAGCATTTATTAATCGTATGCAGAAGTATGTACTATCACCTCTTCCCGTCAATACTACAGCCCTGTAAATATCTCTGTCCTCAAACATTTTCAAATTTCAGTATATAGTTCCAAAGATGTAATAACTTAGATCCACACCTTGTATCTTATCATGAGGATGATGATGAAGACCAGCACCGAGGCCACGATGATCCCTCCGATAATAATGATCATGGTGCCGCCGAGGAACTGCGACTGCATGAACTGGCACCTCATGTACTCCGACTCTGTGGAGAACTGCACGCAGCCCACCACTCGCGTGGCCGTCAGAGAGGTGATGACGTCATCATAAATGGCCAGCACACACAGGTCGTACTGGGTTCCCGCTGCCAGGTTGTTCACCAGAAAGTTCTTGCTTGAAGGAGGAATCATTCTGTGGAGACATGGACCGAGACACATCTGAATACGTACTTTGTGTTTCATTGCTGCCAACAAACATGACACCCTTTTGTTTTATTTTTCATAAAGTCACATAATCTTGTTATGAAACCGGCAATCTTGGTCAGGACCTTGCAGACACAACATCAATTTACCCCAAATTGGTTGCACAATGTTTTTTGTTTTCCTTTTTTTACTGAGGCATGAGCATGAGTTTGCAATGCTGAGACAGATCACAGCTGGGCAATCCTAAAATAGATGCCAGGGTAAAAAAAAAAAAGAAAGTGAGAAGGAAGTTTCCATGAAGAATTATCAGAGTCAGCTCTACTGTGTATAAATGCTGCTGAATCCTCCAAAACAAAACCCAAAAGTCATCCGTGAGAGAACACTCTAATTAAATGATTTATTATCGAGCGAATCCCAATAACAGATGCCCACCCAGAGTTTCTCTCACTGATATCACCGTGGTCCTCACAAGTACCATCGGGGACATTCCAGGACACGCTCAACCAGGCCACATTGGATTTTCAGCCTTTGTTTGATGGTAGATTGAGCCTAAGCCACTCGTCTCCTCCTCCAGATCTCTGTCACATTGGTGGCAGGATGTGCACATGTGTCCTCCAGTTTCTCCTGCCTTTCCCGGGATTGGCTCATTAAAATGCTAATGCAATTCCTCATTAAAACCAAAGGAGGGCTGGCAAGTTCACAAGATTGTTGCCCCAGGTGCACTGAGAAAGATCCGAGGCGTCTTTGGTCACTGGGTTTCCTGTTGCAGTCAAGTGAAGGCTTATCACTGATTTGTTTGTGTTTTTGGGTCATTATCACTCCCTTAGGTGGGTAAACAAGTGATGAATATTCACACCAGTCATCTGACATTTGCAAAAGTTGAAAAGACATTTTTTTAAACTACAGAAAGTGCTGATTTCATTTCCACAGGCCGTCAATGCTCATTTACAATAACAACACGGTATATGGACGAGACATAGATGAAAGGCTGATAATGAGATAGCTATTGCTCTGGTTTATGCAAGGGACGACTGTAACTTTCTGTTTGTCACTGTTTGTCACTTTGATGCAGAGTTTAACAATGTCATAGCCAGAAATAGAAAGCGTTGTTTACCAGGTTATAAATAATGCATGCCTGTGAGGAATGCATTTGATGTCATCTGTATGGCATAAGCAACAGCAAATAACCTATGTGTCGGGCGAATACAGATTTCCTGCTGTCTTTCCCATTATGTTTGAACTGAGTTTTGTGAATGTAAACACTCTCAACACTTGAATTCTATCATGGCTATAGTTCAGGAGTGTTTAACGTATGGGTGCAGGTTTTCATTTCAACCAAACACTTTGAAAAATAAGTGTGTTTTCAACTTCAATGTAATGTGATTGATAAACCCATGGGCGCCAATTGAGGTGTGAAAAACTATTCCTTTCTGAGGTGCCGGTGCACGCTGATTCTGCTGCGGTTGAGGCTGTGTATATACAATGAGATATCAGGCAGTGATGCATTTTAGCACACGGGGAAAAGCCAAACTTATAATAGAATTGCATGTATTTCGACGAATATAGTTTACGCACTAGTTTTGCGCAGGATTAATACCATGGATCTATAATAATATCTGGATAGGGTATTACTAGCTTGTAGCTGTCGCACCAATGGGCAGAGGAGGAGCTTGCAGTACTACATACTAAATTCACATGGGCTACCCAGAAAAAAGTCCCATGTAGAACTCACTGTAAACTAAAACAGCTGGACCTCAACTGATAGAAAACCTACAGCTTTCATAAATGTAGGATTTTATGAGGATTTTAATGTCTCTTGTAATCCTGGACTTTTTGTTTTCTTAAATCCTTCGGTTTTCTATAAATCCAAAGTTTAATGCAAAAATCTCTGCTTGTTTAGCTCCCGCTCTAACTCCGCTCTGATCAGCCGCTCTCATCGGTCGGAACTCGCCCGTGCCCCTCTGTGCTCGTGCATGAGAGCCACACACGCGTATTTGACGCAAAGCATCATGGGAGCTTGTCCACTGCGCAGAACCGGGAGGACCAGAGAAACTACCAAATATTGGCTCCTGCTCTGGCTCCTGCTCTGGCTCTTGCTCTGGCTCCTGCTCTGGTTCCTGCTCTGGCTCCTGCTCTGGCTCTTGCTCTGGCTCCTGCTCTGGCTCCTGCTCTGGCTCCTGCTCTGGCTCTTGCTTCGCCTGGGCCCCATTCACACCACTCTAACCACCGCCAGTGCTCGACTCCGGAGAATCTCAGATATCTTCAGTAGCAATGATCTCTTTATTTATAAACTTTCCATCAGTTGGACCCAATCATAATGTGGCCCGACCTAGTCACAAGCAAGTATATACAGACACCGAATACTAATACTAATACTAATACTAATACTAATCAAAGGACTCTCCCGAATGTATTCATAGATCAGACATGGGGGAGAAATACCAGCACACAAAGTTCCATCTCTGTTTGTTGCAGTTTACTGAAATCGGTGATGGGCAAACAAGTCATGCATGTTTTGTCTACGCTGTGCATGTAGTGGCTTTCAGTCTCTGTGGGAAGAACACAATGAAACGAAGCACAGACGGAACTAGTTCAATAGGTCAAGGCCATACCCCAAATAGCGCTCAGATATGGCCACTCACTTAGCCCTGCACACTTCACGGTGACGGCCACAACCCTCTAATCTCAACGGTGATGCAGGATTGAAAGAGGTGATTGTTTCATAATGGATAGAACAAAATCATCATCTTCACTCTGCTTTTCTGTAACAGCTCCGAAGCAATCCAAGACTATTACCTGTTTGCTTATCTGTCCATGAACCATCTCGTTACGGTTGTTGGAGTGTAAACCACATGACATTGTGACTCCCAGACTGTCATATGCTATCATATGCTATGGCCTCGTGGCAATTGGCATGAAAGATAAAAGCAGCTCAAGAATAGTTTTATACTGGGTTCTTCGAGGAGCATACACGATCAGACATTTCTACACCAGCTCACATGACATATTCTTGGGTTAATGAACTCCCTGATGCTCAGCTATAATTTGCAACCCTTACAAAGCACATTCAGAAATTGTGTGATAAGGCGTATTGAACTGTACTCTACCACATGCTGAGTCTTCTAGATGCATTTTCATACCCATTGGATGAGTTCTTTTGTCTTGCGTAGAATTTGTTCCTGAATCGGAGCTGTCTGCATCGTGAGGCCATCGATACAGACTCATTCTGGTATATTTTGTTTGTGCTGATGATGCCACTGTTTGAAGGTCTACAGAGAGCAGGTGATTGCTTTGGCAGAGACTATTACTCTAATCCATCTGAGGAGCAGTGCTAAAGCCTAGTTTATACTCGCGCGGCGCGGAGCTTACGGAGGTGACGTGACGTCACTTGCGCAACGCGTTGGTCACTGCAAGGCCCTTACGTTGCCTGCCGCGCAGCATCGAAATTTTCTAACTACGTAAGGGTCGCCGCAAGGAATCTCCGCTGTGATTGGTCCGTGTGTGTGTATTGGAAGGAAGCATGGAGCGGCTGCAGCAGGGACATGGACGAGGCACTATGGAGCAGAGAGCTTTGTGCTTCGAAGGAAAAGCAGTTTGGGCTCAGAGCCTGATAAACAGGAGACTGTGGACTATCTAACATATATATAACTTATAAACTGTGCAGTCGTTTGTTTTGCACTGTTCCTGTCTTTGTTTGAATCGTAGCTGCGTTTGTTGCTTTCCTCCTGCACTCGTAAATCGTTTATGTCAGATATTTACCACTATTATTGTTTTGCTGTTTGTGCTGAAAACTATTTAATAATAACTATGTTTCCAACAAGAACTGTGTCTTCATTCACAGAATCACAGTTGAAATGACTTATAAAATAATGAATCCATAAAACTATCACATAAACCTACAGTAGAAACACGTGTAATGAGCTCAAACAGCTTTGTTTGTTATTGTTGATCTGAAGAGGACAAAGTAGCAGCGTAAATGGGACCGCTCCTGTGTGATCGCCCTCATATGGTTTGTTGTGGGATTACAACATTCTCCTCAAAACTCCGTAAGGGGAACGCGCCAGTATAACATCAATTGTGCTTACGTAGGTCCACCGCAACCGCTAACGTAAGCCACGCCGCGCAAGTATACTCTAGGCTTAAGGCCTCTGTCCAGGAAGTTTCTGTGGACATGTGGCCGTCTCATTCATCCGTGTGTGCGGGTCAAATGGTCACATAGTCACAGTAATGTAACCTTGTAGATAGATTAATATATCAACGGAAAATATGTGTTCAGACTGATAGGCAAAACACATGGTTTTGTGTTATTAACATCAGCAGCTTTTTACCATCTAAAAAACATTGCCAGGATCAAAAACATAGTGTCTAAAGCAGACTTGGAGATTCTTATCCATGCATTTGTCTCCTGTAGGTTAGACTGCAATGGCCTGCTCACAGGTCTGTCCAAACAGGCTGTAAAACAGCTGCAGTACATTCAAAATGCAGCAGCTCGAGTCCTGACTAGAACCAGGAAGTACGACCACATTAGTCCAGTTCTCAGGTCCCTGCACTGGCTTCCTGTGGCTCAGAGAATAGACTTTAAAACAGCTCTGCTTGTTACAAGTCTCTCCATGGCCAAGCACCAAAATATATTAGTGACATGTTAGTACCATACGAAGCAGCCCGGACTCTGAGGAGCACAGGGACTGGACTCCTGTTAGTGCCCAGAGTCAGAACTAAACATGGGGAGGCTGCTTTTCAGATTCTTGCCGCTAAAATCTGAAACAATGAGACAGGCCTCCTCTCTGACAATGTTTAAAACCAGGTTAAAACCAGTTCTGTTTAGCTGTGTATAACACTGAGGGATTTTATATTTGTATCTTTCTTTGTAATGTACTGTGATTATTTATGATTTTAATGCTTTCTTAGTTTGTTCAGAACTTTGAGTTGCCTAGTGTATAAAATTGTGCTATACAAATAAACTTGCCTTGCCTAAATCACATGAATTCA